GATTTAGGGGTTTGGGGTTCAGGATTTAGGCTTACGCTGCTAGAAGGGACCCTAACTTCGAGAACTGCCCATTCAGTAGCAGACCGAGTCTCGTACTTCGGCTGGCCCTTCCTTGGGAACTTCCTAAACCCTTAGTCCTTAACCCTAAACCCTAAACCCTAAACCCTACCTAAACCCCAAAGAACCTGTATACCTTTTTAAGGAAATCACCGAGTCTCGTACTTCGCCTGGCCCTTCGGTGGGAACTTCATGTGACTCGGATCGCACTCGAAGCTGGGATTGGCGGTCACCCCGATGCCGCGCTGCGACAGAGAGAAGCCGGCGTAGCCCTCAATGTGCATTCCCAGCACACCTGAGGAGGGGATTTAGGGTTTAGGATTTAGGATTTAGAGTTTAGCGTTCAGGGTTTAGGGTTTAGGGTTCAGGATTTAGGGTTTAGGGCTTAGGGCTCTATTCGTTTTTTCCAGGGTTCGTTGGTTTGACTGGATGTTAACGGAGTTTATACGAGGTATCGGGCCTCTGGGTGCCTTGAACGGAAGAGGTCTGAGTTTACAGCTTCAGAGTCGAGCTGTGGCCCTTTTGACCCTTCACCTTGAAACCTGTGGAACATCATGAAACCTCAAGAAAGCCAACAAGAAAACTAGAATTGTACCAGGCCCCAGAAAAACGCAGAACATCCTTCAGAACCCTAACCTAAAACCCCTACAAAAACCGGATAGTATCCTGAAATCGAAACCCTAAACCTCTAAACTCCTAAACTCCCAAACCTTAAAACCCCCAAAACTCGATATTAAACTCTTAAACCCCAAAACCATGAAGCACTAAACTTCAGCCCTAGAGTACCCTTATAGATCCGTTAAAGGAACCCTGAAAAGAGCCCTAAACCCTAAAAAGCCTGTAAAGGAACCCTTAATGGAGCCCTGAACCGCAAAGAGCCCGTAAAGGAACCCTTAAAGGAGGCCTAAACCCTAAAGAGCCTTTAAAGAAACCTTTAAAGGAGCCCTAAACCTTAAGGAGCCCCTATAGATCCCTTAAAGGAACCCTTCCTAAAGCCCCGAAGGATCTACCGGGCCAAAGCGCAGGTCGCATCACTGCCTGGGCCGCCGCAATGCACCAACCGAGGCTCCGATGCGCCCGGGGGTACCACCAGCATCACCTGAGGGTTTAGGGTTTATAAGGGTTTGGGGTTTAGGGTTTAGGGCTTAGGGTTTAGGGCTTAGGGTTTAGGGCTTGGGGTTTAGGGTTTAGGGTTTAGGGTTTAGGGTGTTTTCTTGCGCAGTGGCCGATAGTCCATGGTAAGATGGCGCGGTCGCCCCGTATTTCGCGTGAAGCAACTTCTGGTGTGCTTTGTTTTAGAACTCGGTGCAACCGGAAGTTCTTTTTTCCAGCCCGCTGTGATGATACCACAGGCAACCACCCCAACCATTTCCTGTTAGGGTTTACGGCTCACGCC